TTTAAATGATAAAATGTCAATTTGGTCCTCTATCTTCTTAACAATGAGTCTATAACTTCTAATTTTTTCATTTAGGTCCCTAAAAGTGATCTTTCTTCACACAATATGGTCCCTCAACTTTCAAAAGATATTCAATTAGGTCTAAAACTTCAATTATTTTTCATTTATGTCTTTTTATGTACAAATAATGAAAATTACGTAAAATACATTGAAAATCACATTCTATCCATCTAAATAGCAACAAAATCAAGATTAAAATAAGAAATTAAAGCATATAAATGCATCTCATCATATAAAGTAAATGAAATTCCTTTTACATGGGTTATGTTATTTGCATGGTTCATACCTAGTCAAAATCCTCTCTTGAATATTCCATCTCATTGGTAAAATACAACTTGGAAAAGGCATATGCTTATGTATATGAAAGTTTCAATAAAAATCATTGTACCTGTCATACATGCTTAATATTGCTGATCTTGATAAAGATTTGAGGAAATATAAGAGGCTAATAAATATTGTCTTGTTGCATTAATGGAAGATTGCTTAGGGCATAAGTGTATTTATCACTTTTGATGCCTCTTAATTTATGCTTACAATATCATATTTCAATTGGAGTAAATTCAAACAAGTGATAATCAAGTCTCATAACGACTATCTTGTCATAATGAAGAAAGAAACACTAAAATGGGATTTGGTAGCCCATTAGGAAATCAAATTGATTTCAGTTTAGATATAAATAAGGATAAGAGAGACCAAGTAAAAAAAGGCTCTCAATCTTGATTAAGAACTAGCAAAGCTACCATAAGGATTTTCAAGTCCTTGTTTAAATGCTATCTCTTGATAAGATAACTAGTAGTAGCAAGTGCAACTTTGTGTACTTGATTTGTTAATAGAGGCCTACCGTAATTGTCCAATTGGACAAATTGAAGGGAAAATGGAATTAAATTTCCATAAATCTACCTAGCCATAAGGCCAAAACTTATAAGTGAAATTTAAAGAGACAAAAGAATTGGGCCTTGAAAATCTCCTTGAGAGATTAAATAATTTTTTCCCAGGAAAGAATAGTTCTTGGTCATGGGAGATAAATGTAATGATTTGAGTTGTTCTAGGATTTTGATTCAAATCATTCAAAATTGATTTGAAATACTTGCACAATGAGTATAGAAAGTTTTATAATTGGATTTAAATCACTTAAAGTTTATTCAAAACTATTGCTTAGAAAACTCAAGAAGTATTTACATTTTAGTTTGAACCTCATTTATATGATTCAAATCACTTATGATAAATTAGAAATTAAGAGATAAAACTTTGATGTCTCTCATAAAGAAACAATGACGTCATAAAATTGACAAAGAAATATTTAAAATAGAAAGAACAATCCAAAAAATAAAAGGATAAGGACTAAAGTCCTTCACACATGAAAAGCAAATAAAAACTAAATTTGGAAGTGTAGAAAAGCAAGAATTCCACTTATTCATGATATTACAAAGTCATATGATACTATTTAGAAGCGATATTGCTTGTTCTTGGGGATGTCACACCTTCTAAAGAATTCATATTAATCTAAGACATTCTTATATGAATGTGTATGATGACTAGAAATAATGTGATGTCATCAAGTGATTACAAAGAAGTTTATATGACAAATGTAGACATGGAAACAATTAATTCCTAATGAGGTAATCACCATAATCTTTGCAAGGTCTTGTGAGAATTAATTTGGTGAATTGTTGATTAAATGATTATCAAAAGAAAAATTTAGAAGACAAGGAAAGGAATGAGCATCAAGTCTATCAATAAAACTCACACATGATGAAACCTTAATTTAATACTTGATAAAAACATCAAGTTTTAAGTTCAATGAGTAAAGCACATCATATGAATGTGACTACAAGTTCTCAAATCTACAAACAGTACCATCTTAGGTTGAAGAGTACTTGGTAACTATATGAAACAAAGTAGAGGTTGAACTTTGCTCGTAATATGTCCTATAATAGATTTTTGTTAAAGTGCTAAATACTGGGCACTTTTGATGAGATTTGGCTATATAAGTGGAAGTGGTGCTGCTTCTAAGAGTTGGGTACTATAATAGATTTTTGTTAAAGTGCTTAGTGCTGGGCACTTTTGATGAGATTTGGCTATATAAGTGGAAGTGGTGCCGCTTCTAAGAGTTGGGGACTTAACTCTGATAGCACTCATAAAAAAAGGATATAGGACACACAAATAGTTTTTGTGTTGGTGATGTTGAATTCTTACTTTAGAAAGCTTGAAATCTTACGTATGATATGTTCCCAATTAGTCACTTAGAATTGTTGATTCAAAACAATCATGCAATTCTGGATAATTTGCTAACACATGTTCACTAAGTGAAGTTTCAAGTCGCTAGATATCTCCTTGGTATGCATAAGACTTTCAAAGCTATTAATGGGTTGTTCTATTTAGAAAATGGTGGGGGAATATTGGAGAAATTTCAAAATAGAGGAAAGAAGACAATGGTTGGGAAAGGTTGTAAATAAAAAGGTACCTTCCCATAATAAAACTCTTTCATTTGAATTGAAAGATATGCTCTTTGGAAGGTTTCTATTTCCAAGAAACATCTATAGCCTATAAAAGGCTTGTCTTCAGCCTCTTCTAAAAAAGATTCTTATATGGAAAATACAAATAAATCCTATTATTATCAAAATAGAAGAGTTCTTTTTTGTGTAATGATTGCTGTAGAAACCCTTATATGAAATTGATGGCTTCGTTGCTCGAAGAAGCAAGATTCGGTGTTGGTTTCGTTAAAACAAGACACAATCAACAAGGCTTTATTGTGCCTTGCAAGCATTTTCCATCAACCCTTTTTGCATATTGAAATAGTGGGGGTGAAATAACATAAAGAAAGCTAGCATTCGTAGCATGCCTCAAAGCCAAACGATATGTTTTCAACCCCAAGTGCCAACACATTGTACATTATTGCACTCTAATCATATATAGGTTAAAATTTTGTGGTTGAAAATGTGAAAGAAATGGAAGAGATGAATGCAGAGGATGCATTGAGAATAGAAAGCTGCATTGCTTCTATTGGTTGCAAAATTGATTGAGCATTTGATGCATTAGGATTCTTTTTTTCATTTTTTTGAACAGCTCATTAAGATCCATGTAATACATAGTAGTCAGAAAGAACATGAAATTTTTAACGTGATTAAATTTGGAGTTAGCTTCTATGGAAGATTTTGATCCTGATTGTGACTTATTTTTTTGAAATCTAACTTAGTGTCTGATGGAGCAGCATTTTCAGGTATCATGATGAATATATGGATAGGAAGCATAAGAGATGTTGCATAAGAAGTAGGGATAGTCGGATGGAAATGATTGTGATCAGATCACAGTCCTGATCACCACAGGCATATTGGGAGGAATGAAGAATAGCGTGGCCAAAGGAGCCAGTCTAATGGAAGGTGGTAACTAGTGCCTTCTCTTTTGCCTTCTTTTTCATCACTAAATTTTCTCCTATCTGGTGTTTGAAGTGCTTCTCCCCCTCGTTATAGCCTTAACAATAAGAGCCAATCTCCACGCAAGAAACCTCATACAATTCAAAATCCTAATGAACACAATGGTAACAACGATTCTCCTAGACAAAGAAGTGTTTCACCACGCAGCTAGCGCGTTGATTCTGTAATGACAACTCAATTCCACGTCCTTAAGGCATTACCATCCAAATGAGTTGGACTTACCTGGTTCTGTAATGCAGCAGAAATATTGAAGTAATTCTTATTATGAGCCAAATATTGAATTCTAGAATTGGCTGAAGGGAGAGTTTCTTGAGGTTTTAGTTTTATTATTGAAGTTAATATTGCTTTGACAATTTGATAGAAATGTGTCTGTCCTATCTTTGTTAGTTGATATTTTCTGATTTATGCTTGTTACTTGAGAAACATATTGGGTCATCGATGTATTTTTGCAACAAGCTCACAAGTTTTCATTTAGGATCTTAGCTATTGTTGGAGTTGTGGTGTGAAAGCTGCACCAAGAGCAGCAAATGAAAAGAAAGCTACACAAATGGTAGCAAAATGAAATGAAGGGAAAGCTGCACCAAGAGCAGCAGCAAAGTGCAGCAAACGAAGCTGCAAATGTTTGATGAAATGAGGCTGAAATGAACAGCAAATGAAATGCAAATGAAAGGTTGCAAAGTAACAGCAAAGCACAGCACATGGAGCTGCACAAATGGCAACAAATCTTTGAAAGTAATCTTGCATTAAATGATTAGTAGATTTTCTTGTATTAGGTAAAGATTAGGTGAAAAAAGTAATGTTGATGTATTAAGTGATTGCTGCTATATAATGGCAGAAGATGAATTAAAAAAAAAAAAAAAGGTTAGACCTCACCAAATGAGGTAACTCCACCGGTGTCTCTCTCCTTCTCCTCCAAGTCCTCTCCCAAACCCCCCTTTTTATCA